ATACACAATAAAGGAAAAAAAAAAAAGGGAAGGGGAGGTAGGAGAAAAGCACACAGAAACTGTATTGGAGGGATCCACATTCCCTCCAATGCGTTATGTGTGGTTTCCTCCGAGGCTATGGGTCCCCCTTCTTCCAGCCAGAGGTGGTACGCCCTTCCATATTAAAAATATATATATATATATATATATATATATATATATATATATATATATATATATATATATATATATATATATATATATATATATATATATATATAAATGAGATTGGGTGGATATAAATAGAAGCTGCCTCATATGGACCAATAGGCCTTCTGCAGTTACCTTAATTGTTATGTTCTTAATTATTTACATTCTTAAGAATGTAAACTTAAGAACAAAACATTCTTATCTTCTTAAGTTTACAAAATATCATAATTTTGATTAATTCAAATTTTTATTTAATCTTAAAATTTCCATTTTTAACATAGGTTTCCGCCCATGAGTCCAACCACTTGGGCTGGACGGTAGAGCCACGGTCTCGCTTCATACAGGTCGGCGTTCAATCCCCGACCGTCCACAAGTGGTTGGGCACCATTCCTTCCCCCCGTCCTATCCCAAATCCTTATCCTAACCCCTTCCCAGTGCTATATAGTCGTAATGGCATGCCGCTTCCCCCCCCCCCCTGATAGTCCCCTTCCGCCCATGAACCACTAGCGACCCCTAATTAGTAATTATCAATACTCTTGTGGTAAACTAATGTGGGTGTAAACTAATGGGAAACTCCGTTGTTTCTCCTTTGAGCAAATTATTCTCAGTGCGTTGTTAGTTCCTTAAACAGTGAAGATAAGGGTCGGCGCCCCCTCCCCCTGGTGTATTTCCACCCACCAATAGTATGATTGGTCGGTGGAATTAGTATGACTTCAAAGAATGGTTAACTTCATTCCAAAATATACACACATACACTTTTTTTATTATGTAAATATTTACTGATATATATTTATTTTTTAGGCTTTCCAGTACGGGAAGAAATATTTGATAATCTAGTTTTATTGTTGGGTTATTAAGGCCTATCATGCTTTTGGTGGTTATATAGGCCTATCAACCTCTGGAGGGTTATTAAGACTTATCAACCTCTGGAGGGTTATTAAGACCTATCAACCTCTGGAGGGTTATTAAGGCCTATCAACCTCTGGAGGGTTATTAAGACTTATCAACCTCTGGAGGGTTATTAAGACCTATCAACCTCTGGAGGGTTATTAGGACCTATCAACATCTGGAGGGTTATTAGGACCTATCAAGCTCTGGAGGGTTATTAGGACCTATCAACCTCTGGAGGGTTATTAAGGCCTATCAACCTCTGGAGGGTTATTAAGGCCTATCAACCTCTGGAGGGTTATTAAGACCTATCAACCTCTGGAGGGTTATTAAGACCTATCAACCTCTGGAGGGTTATTAAGACCTATCAATCTCTGGAGGGTTATTAAGACCTATCAACCTCTGGAGGGTTATTAAGACCTATCAACCTCTGGAGGCTTATTAAGACTTATCAACCTCTGGAGGGTTATTAAGACCTATCAACCTCTGGAGGGTTATTAAGGAAACACCCTTGGATGCCTGTTCCACCCTCCACTACACTGTTTAGGGGTCATACAGTGTAGCTGTTCCACTTGGCTCGCTCTCTCTCGCCTCACTCCCTCGTTTCGATCCAGCAGACTGTTGTTGCTGGGATGAATGTGTATCCCTGTAGCTCATTCCAATCCGTTGTACTGTTTTGAAATATTTTTGTATACAACTTTGTATTCCTCTGTATTTCTGTTTTCACTACAAGAGCCCCACTTCTCGTTAAATTTACAGTAACCGTCCAGTGGTACTGACAGGCCTAACATCTAAGGAAAATGGTTCAATTCAATATATAAAAAATGTTTCCTGTGCTTCAGGGGATTATTTAAGTGGAAGAATAATACTTCACACTATTGGGTAGTTCTGGGGCATTGTTTGTTGATGATATTTTTGGTAGTAACGACAGAATTGGCACAGAAAATATATGGGGCATACTGGGCACGTTAGGTTGATGATTTGGTGTGTTGGATAATTGGGTTCATTTATTATGAACCCCATACCCCTCCTGTGGGTGGTAGTGGAGCACCGTGCCCATCCTGTGGGTGGTAGTGGAACACCATGCCCATCCTGTGGGTGGTAGTGGAACACCATGCTCATCCTGTGGGTGGTAGTGGAACACCATGCTCATCCTGTGGGTGGTAGTGGAACACCATGCTCATCCTGTGGGTGGTAGTGGAACCCCATGCCCATCCTGTGGGTGGTAGTGGAACCCCATGCACCATGCATCCTGTGGGTGGTAGTGGAACACCATGCTCATCCTGTGGGTGGTAGTGGAACACCATGCTCATCCTGTGGGTGGTAGTGGGTAGTGGAACCCCATGCCCATCCTGTGGGTGGTAGTGGAACACCATGCTCATCCTGTGGGTGGTAGTGGAACACCATGCTAATCCTGTGGGTGGTAGTGGAACACCATGCTCATCCTGTGGGTGGTAGTGGAACCCCATGCCCATCCTGTGGGTGGTAGTGGAACACCATGCTCATCCTGTGGGTGGTAGTGGAACACCATGCCCATCCTGTGGGTGGTAGTGGAACACCATGCTCATCCTGTGGGTGGTAGTGGAACACCATGCTCATCCTGTGGGTGGTAGTGGAACCCCATGCCCATCCTGTGGGTGGTAGTGGAACACCATGCTCATCCTGTGGGTGGTAGTGGAACCCCATGCCCATCCTGTGGGTGGTAGTGGAACACCATGCTCATCCTGTGGGTGGTAGTGGAACACCATACCCCTCCTGTGGGTGGTAGTGGAACCCCATGCTCATCCTGTGGGTGGTAGTGGAACCCCATGCTCATCCTGTGGGTGGTAGTGGAGCATCCTGTGGGTGGTAGTGGAACACCATGCTCATCCTGTGGGTGGTAGTGGAACACCATGCTCATCCTGTGGGTGGTAGTGGAACCCCATGCCCATCCTGTGGGTGGTAGTGGAACCCCATGCCCATCCTGTGGGTGGTAGTGGAACACCATGCTCATCCTGTGGGTGGTAGTGGAACACCATGCTCATCCTGTGGGTGGTAGTGGAACACCATGCTCATCCTGTGGGTGGTAGTGGAACCCCATGCCCATCCTGTGGGTGGTAGTGGAACACCATGCTCATCCTGTGGGTGGTAGTGGAACACCATGCTAATCCTGTGGGTGGTAGTGGAACACCATGCTCATCCTGTGGGTGGTAGTGGAACCCCATGCCCATCCTGTGGGTGGTAGTGGAACACCATGCTCATCCTGTGGGTGGTAGTGGAACACCATGCCCATCCTGTGGGTGGTAGTGGAACACCATGCTCATCCTGTGGGTGGTAGTGGAACACCATGCTCATCCTGTGGGTGGTAGTGGAACCCCATGCCCATCCTGTGGGTGGTAGTGGAACACCATGCTCATCCTGTGGGTGGTAGTGGAACCCCATGCCCATCCTGTGGGTGGTAGTGGAACACCATGCTCATCCTGTGGGTGGTAGTGGAACACCATACCCCTCCTGTGGGTGGTAGTGGAACCCCATGCTCATCCTGTGGGTGGTAGTGGAACCCCATGCTCATCCTGTGGGTGGTAGTGGAGCACCGTGCCCATCCTGTGGGTGGTAGTGGAACACCATTCCCATCCTGTGGGTGGTAGTGGAACACCATGCTCATCCTGTGGGTGGTAGTGGAGCACCGTGCCCATCCTGTGGGTGGTAGTGGAACACCATTCCCATCCTGTGGGTGGTAGTGGAACACCATGCCCATCCTGTGGGTGGTAGTGGAACACCATGCTCATCCTGTGGGTGGTAGTGGAACCCCAACAACAACGTTCTCAACCTGCCCAAACAAGTACAAACATTCATATGTTACAATGTCTGCAGTGTTCTTGTCAGTTAACACAACTTGTTATTGTTAATAGCAGAGGTTCAGCTCAACACCTTCATATTGTATTAGGCTACAATACTGTATCTCGTATAGATCCCTTGAAATGTTTCTATGGACCCCCCCTGGGGTCCATAGACTCCCCACTCTCGGTTGGGGTGTAAAGGCTTCCTCAGAATTCTGGTTATATTTTTAAGAATGTGTAAAAATAGATACATACGTCGTAGGTGAAATGTATAGCTGGTTTATACTGTTTTAACGCTACTTGGCATGAGTTTGATCACTTATGGAATAGGCGCCATAGTGTGCAACCGTTGCCACTTTTGTAATGCAAATACTTGATTTGAAGGCTAAGTGAGAGCGGAATGACCATAAATGTCGGATTACCATTTATAGGCAATAATTAGTGCGCCGGTGGCCTGAGCTGCTCGTTCCCTTGGCGCCAGTTGGGCGAGCTTTACTGCCATATATACGGCACTGTGGCAAACGCTATCTTTGCCACATAGGCTGGAATGAATTACGTGTGTTGCAAGGCCAATGTTGCTCTGCAATGGCAATTCCCATTTTCTGATATTTCGTGATTTCCCGCTCTTTTAGAGTGTGATGACGTCACTTGACACATGGACCCTCCCAGTAACAGCGATGATTCATCTGGGACTACGCCGAACAAACTAGTTCAACATGGATGCCCTACCCCATTAATTATCTAATAAACTACGCCACTGCGTCTGGAATTGACGCCCCGTATACGCATTAAAAAGAGGACGTTGAAATCACTGAGATAACTGATAAGGTTATATATACGTGCCAGTGTATGCCAGAAAACGCCACATTGAGCCGGCAGCCCCTGTCACTAAATAATTAATACCAACATGACAGCCTCCCCATCACCACTTATAATTGAACAATAACATCCCGTGGATAATATCTCTCTCTATATATATGGTAATTAGGGCGGGGTAAGGAGTAGTGTGAGATAATTAGGGGGTTGGGAGGGGATGGGGGGGTGTGAAACAGGGGGCGTCTGGCAGCCCGGCGGCGGAGGGATACACGGCGTTGTGCGGCCCGACCTCCTCCCTGGCAGTAGGCAAGTCAGTTGTGGTTCGGGAGTTGCAGTGGCTCATTTCTAGCAAATTATTTCACAATGTCGTGGCAAAATTACGTTGACCAGCAGCTTATGGGCTCTGGACTTGTCGCTAAGGCCATTATCGCTGGTCACGACGGCACACTATGGGCCAAGAGTAATAATATTGAGGTGAGTAGTGGCGTGTGTGCCGGCTTGCTCTCTCTCGCTCTCTCCTTCTCCCTCTCTCTCATATATGGGAGTTTTGTCCCTTTTCTGCCCCCGTGCGGGTGCTGGGTGTGTGGAGGGGGCGTGGGGCGGGGCGGGGTGTGGGGTGTGGCTGGGTGTAGGGGCGGGGTGTGGCTGGGGGTGGCTTTAGGGTGTAACAAAGGCCGGCTTGGCTTGGCGGCCCTGGTGGGGGGGAGGCTTGACAGCTCCTAGTGAAAGTTTCCTCCTCTTGACCCCAATATTCTTCCCCCCCCCCTCCCCCTAGGCCTAAAGGCTGTCCCATTCTCCCTGGCTTTCGTTAAATCCCTTTATGGGACGCGCCTTCTTTTCTATCCTATTTTTTTTATTTAATGAATACTTTTAAGTGGTATTTAAAGGTTTTTCTATAAATTTTTAGGTTTTAAATCTTAATTTGTATGTATAGGTCTCTTGATGGTAGTGATTTAGGCCTATAAGGGTGATATTGGGATTTTTCCTTTCTAGAAAATTCTTCCTCGTGACTTAAAGTTTCCGGAACGGTACAAGAGTGAAGTGTCTGGCAGCGGTATACTGGCCGGTACACCCCTCCTGTCTACACTAGTGTACACCACTCCTGTCTACACCACTCCTGTCTACACCACTCCTGTCTACACCACTCCTGTGGGTACAGCAGACAGCGTGTACAGGAGTGGAGACTTAACTAATGTCTTAGTCTTGTAACTGTGGTTGGCGTGACGTAGAGTACAGGGCAGTTACGGGGAGAACACGATGGCAGTTAAGAGTAATTAGGGCGCAGTTTGTGTAGGTAGTTTTGTCTTGAGAAATTACATTGTGCAGCATAGGCTTATCTTCACCTTGAGGGCTCTTGATAATTTGGTCTTGTATTTCAAGAGAACTAAAATAAAATTGGTCATTTTATAGGACAGGTAAGGCAATAATGGTTGTGGAGTTTCATTAATTGATGCTTCATTTGTATGGTTATATTAATAAAATTCCGAGGTGAAAGTATAGTGGGTGACGGAGGAACTTTGGGGGGGGGGGTGTTGCCGTGCACTAATTATGTGCGGCCAGTTACATGGACTTGTTTTCCTTTGAGCAAGGCCAGTTACTGTAGAAAGTGAGAGGCTGACTGGCTTGTGCAACTGGTGCACCTTGACCCCTGTGGTGGGTGTCGCGGGGGGCACGTGGCTGTGGGGTCGCTTTTAACTTTCCGCTGTCTGTATTGATGGGTATCTAGGATGTTTGGTTAATGGTAGCGCTTGGGCTCGTAGGGTGTAGCTATAAATGAAAATTAGTTGGGTCTAGACACAGCCCAAATTTACTTTGGAAAGTATGTTGTGCTAAAATTAATTCCCTGGTGTTTATCCTTTTTTTTTTTTTGTGTATAGGGTAAATTTGCCATTGATTGAAATGCCAAATAAATCGTGCACTGTTGCAGGGCCATGCTGGCATTTTGTAAAGTTCGTGACTTTTAACTGAGGTATAAGGGGAGGATTTGTTGTACATCCCCCCCCCCCCCCTACTCCCATAAAAGATGTGCATGCCATAATTACACACCTATTGTGTGTACGTATTTCTAAATATGGTAATTTTTACGTGTAAACTTTTACAAATAAAAAAGGGGGCGTTGGCGATGGTACAGCCTTTTGTATTGGAAGAAACTGGGGCTTGGAAGACTCTTGATTTCAGGTGAACCTATGGTAAATGATTTTAGTTTCTGTACTGTGGTTTCTTGGTCAGTTGGTAGCACTTAAGATATGCATTGTTAAACATTGGCTTACTTTTTTCAGAAGGTAAGGTTATGGATGTTGGCTCATGTAGGTGTGCCATCTGCATGAAGGGCAACACTTGGTACAGAACAGTGTAATAATGGCTTTGAATGCCAGTGATGCCACATGGCTAGCAAACATGAGTTTTGGACTAGTAGTTAGGCATCCTACATGCTCGTGAGTATAGAGTTGCGCTCTGGTTGTTGAGGCTGGAGTGTCCACTCCAGGGTGCAAAGCCTGGGTAGGTCAATATGGAGAAGCTGTTAACCATTTATTTTGTACTAGATTTCTAGTTATGGCACTTTCGTCCGAATAACGATGGCTTCATACAGTACCTGGATACCGCCTAGTCTTTTTGCATAAAATTAGTAATTTGTTGCCATTAAACCTGTTCAAAACATCTATGGGTCACTTAAAATACTTGTGTAAATGTACTAAAATCCAATAAGCAGTATTTTCTGGTTCTGTAGGTCTGTAAATACCTTCATTCATAAGGTTGTCAGGAAGGTCAATAGTGTTGGAAATAAACTATTTGGATAATCTTGAAATAGGTATTTCAGTTCTAATCAGGTTAAAAATTTTAATCTGTAGATTTCTTATACTTTTTAATAAATTACTAGTGCAGTGCCCAAAGGCACTGTGGTGGGTATGTGATGAGCCTTGCTCATTTTATAGAATCTTACAAACTTCCATCCACCAGTATTTGAGAATTTGAATCCCCCTTTGCTTCACTGTAACTACATATGTCTTATTAGAACTTGATATTGTAATAGCATTTCCAGTATTATGCCAGGGAAGTTAACTCTTTTAACATTGCTAAATGCTAAAGACAAAGGCTGCTAGGAGAATAATGCATTGTTGGCACTAATGTACAGGGAAAACCACACTTGCCACTTGATATTGAACTGTAAATTATGCTGGTCTGAAATTTGAAGGAAACCTGGAATTTATTAGGGAAACCCATGGAAATGTCTCCCTGCAAACTTGACCTGTATTAACTTGACAGAGCATGTTTGCTCTGAACTTGACAGGGCTGTTTGACACTTATAAACAACTGGCCTATATCAGTGGCAGTGTGCAAAATAGAAACTTGTAATGTTCTACTGTTTGATTACATTGTCTTGCTCTTCAGCATTTGAGTTCTAAATTGTATGATGGCAAATGAAATTGCATGATAGCTCTTGGTTGTAATTGGGGTCTCGTGGAACTTCGTCTCGTGGAACTTCGTCTCGTGGTATTTTTAGGGATGCAAGTCTTATTTTCCTCGGTCACCCCTCTCTTATTATACATGAACCATCGGAAATGCATCAGAGGTGCTGTGTGGCCCATTGCCGCTTTGTTGGAGAGGCGCGACAGTTTTTATTCAGCCTTCATTCTAGACTGTTAAGGATCCTGAGTTCAGTTAAAGGGTAGGACAGAAATGGTTAGGCAAATTTCCTTTCACCTAATGCCTCTGTTCACCTAGCAGTAAATTCATAGGTTAGGAAACTGTTTTGGGAGGCTACCTTAAGCCTGAAGTGTAATAATGTTTCCTATCCCTGACAAACCAGATTGTTGGTAAAACTAATACCCTGATGAGTGCCTAACAGCCGAGTGGACAGCGCTTCGGATTCGTAGTCCTGAGGTTCTGGGTTCAATCCTCGGTGTAGGCGTAGACAAATGGGCAAAAAGTTTTTTGCCCTGATGCCCCTGTTACCTAACAGTAAATAAGTACCTGGGAGTTGGATGGCTGCTATGGGCTGATTCCTGGGGGTGTGTAACAAAAAGGCCTGGTTGAGGACCGGGCCGCGGGTACGCTAAGCTCCGAAATTGAGTTCTGTACAGTGTACTTTTATTCCAGAATATAAGGTGGCAGAGGGTGTACTGTATTAAGTGGTAAATTATACTTAAGGTGGATTTTAAGAGGGAGGTACCCATTTGATACCTGCTTGATGGGGTTCTGGGAGTTCTACTCCCAAAGCCTGGCTTGACTTGTGAGAGCTTGGTCCAACAGGATGTTTGAGAGTTGCATATGGTGGCTTGAGTCTATGTATTGTACCATATAACAGTATTGCTGGCCTCCACAGTTTAACTTTAAATATTTTATTAAACGCAAATGAACTTGGGCTATTGGACTACTTTTCTGTATGAAACTTGTAAGTTGTTTAGAATCATTTAACCTCAAATGATGTGATGGTATTACTAAAATTTAAGAGGTCAGTCAAGCAAAGCTCTAGGGGAAATTGGTACACTGACACACAGGATCTTGCCCAGTGTTGAGGGTTATAGGTTAGGCACTTACAGGCCTTTGGTAGTTATATTGAATAGGTAAAAGCAGGCACAGCTTGGCAATTGGTACAGTATACAATATTAATGTTTAATAATTTACAACAGACTTCAGAATCTTTGCATTTAACTAGTAAGCTATCACGTACCACAAGTTTCTGTATTGGTTTACATTGCTGCAATTACTATTACCACTGCAATTACTAATCTGCAGGCCTTGGCTTTAGGGTTTGTCCAAGTTGTGTAGATGTGCTAGTTGGTTTTCAAAATGTATTAAATAAAAAATACTGTTCCCTTGTAAGTGCTAAATGGTACTGTAGTAATGTCATTCCCAAGATGTGCAGTACTTTGTAAGTATCTAGATGGTAACATAATGAACTAGTTTAGGGATTTTGACATTAGTGTTTCAATCATTTAGGCGCTGTTAATCTTTTCCTTTTTAGAATACCCTGTAGTGGTACTTGGTGTTGTAAAGTGGCAGAGGTAGCATTAGGCGTCCTAGCCAGCCTTGGTGGTTCACAGGATTCTGATGTGGTGTCTGCTCCAGCCTCTTGGTTGAGGTCTGGTTGATGAGTTGTGCTGCTGCTGCATGCCATCTGATGTAGGAATCAAAGCTTGGTTGATAAGGTGTTCTTTAGTGGCTTGGTGGTTTTCTTGGAACGATAGGGGTCAGTTAATATAATTCCCTTGGTGGGTGGGTGTCACTGTTAATGATGACAAGTCATTACCTGCTTGATGGGGTTCAGTTTTCTACTACTCCCCAAGCCTGGCCTGAGGCCAGGCTTGACTTGAGCCTGGTCCAACAGGCTGTTGCTTGGAGTGTCTCGAAGGTGCACATACCCACCACAGCCTATTGCACCTCTACATTTTCAATTTTACACATTCTGCCAAACATGGCACATTACCCAATATATAGTGGGTGTGTTACATAACTGTTTGATACTAGACACT